GGGGAGCCGAAACTCAAGGTTCGAGTGAAATCAAATGGGCTTTTTTCGAGTTCGAGCCAAGTGGAGCAAAAGCTCGATAAAAAAAAGGCTCGAGCTTGAGACGGCTCGATTTTCTCTCTCTCTCTCTTTTAATTTTATTTATTTATTTTTTATAATTATATTGGCTGCAAGCGCTGCTTTTTTTTTTTTTTTTTTTTTTTTGGTTTTTTTTTTTTTTTTTTTTAAATTGAATCATTTTTTTTTAACTATGCGGGTCAAGTTGGGTGCATTCTATTGGGTTTTATGGGTTAACCCATCATCCAACTTAACTCAACCAGACCCGACCGGGTTGATTCAGTTTGGTCGGATTCGGTCAGGTTTTGCTCACCCCTAAAGACACCAAGCAAAGCTCTCAACTGCAAGAAAGAACGACTACCTCTTTTTTCTCTCTATTGCACATACAAACGTTGATCCCGAAACAGAGGCTCACTTATAGATTGAGGTATAGGTAAACATATAGGCTAACAATCGGTCAATGAGCCAAAGCATAACAAATAGGCTAAACACAGATTGGGCCAATCAACATAACATGAGATGGGCCAACAAATCAAAGGGGAATTGGGCTAACTCATAAAGTGCTGTCCAACTAAAGAATCGATCATGAGCAACACAAGTTCATGGTTGTTTCCACTGGCCCCAATTTGTTCTTAGGTCGAGCCAATCAATTGTGTGTCGATACAATTAATCCAACAAATATTTAATATCATCGTCCAAATTTATTAGGTATCAAAATTTAACAGATGTCAACTTGGAGGATATCCAATCCCTTATTTAAACCTCAACAAATCGCATATCGCTTGCATAAGTCGTTCATTCCAAATGCAGTTTTTTGGTCACTGAAGTTTTCAAGTTTTAACCCTAAGATATAATAGTAATACTTAATAACGTGGGCATAGATAGATTATGGACAAATTGTGTGGGACACTAGCATTAAATTCAGTTATATGTGTGCATGTGACTATGGATCCACTTGCTTGATGTAGGTTGGTAGTTGGCTTACTTTATTAGTTAAAGTAGAGTCTCAAAATCAAGTTAAAACTCAATTTTGGTCCCTATCTGTCATGCCGTATCAATGGATGTACTTTGTGTACCACTAACTAATTTCTATATCTTAGAATTAGAATGACAAAAGTGAATTAGGTTTGGGGAGGAGGGGTGGGGTGGGGGGGTTCTCTATGTTGATATTTATTCAACCCATGACATATACCTTATACCTCTTATCCTAAACATTTGAAAAATTTAAGGTCTATGGATATTATTAATCCATGACATATTACTAATACTTCTTCTCTTAGCCTTTTAGTGTTTTGAAGGTCGAAAAACATTTGAATCAATCTCAAACAAAGTTTTGACAACCTGATAAGAAGGGATGTAGCCTTTTTCGATGATCAAGCCAATATAGATAGCAAAGTGTATCAAAATGTAAAGACGGTAAAATATGAGTCCTAATCTTTTTTCAAGGGAATATGGTTCATATATATAGATACCATTGAATTATCATTATCGTGGTGACAAGAGAGAGAGAGAGATGGAACTTCAGTTTGTGCTTTTTTCTTGTATGACTAGCTCGCTTAGCAGGTCAACTTGACTTAATTGGTTCGTAATAATCTCGAAGGCCATGATAATTGTTTTTTCTTTACAATAATTTCGCATTAATTAACTGGGAATTAAACAACATTAAACAGCACAGATAAGTATTGAGGTCAGCCTAAAACGTGCAGCGAACTGCAGCCTTACAAGTTGAGCGAAGGGTAACATTGACTTCATTTTATGTAGTATTAATTTTCTTGTTACTTAACAATCATTGGATTCCATGAGAGAAGGCATCAAAGCGAACATCAAGTTCAAGATAAAATTATCTCATGTGAATAGATACTTTATTGATAACACAAACTACTTTACATTCTAATATATATCATTGAGATATAATTTCGTGATGCCGTTCCGTTTTTGAAATCGATATAATCGTTACTTCGAATCGACTTCTGAATCCTCAAATGTTTAATAACTATTTGACTGTTGGTGCGTATCTTTATACGTGTGAGGCTTAGCGATTATTTTTTTGGTCGAAATAGACGAGAATAAACCATTACCCAAGAAAAATAGCTGAAGGACCGGAATGACTCCCCAATTATGAGAAATTGATGAAACTCGGGTAAAAGAATTTTCTATGTTTGCATTACAATTAATAACGACATTAAGCCCGACATACTCAGTTTACATTGAAAAGGCTGTCTAACTTGTTCACATTATGGTCTGAATCCCACATGTCTGCTCTCTTCCAAATATTCCCTATAACAATCACTAATTTAATCAACTATTAAACATTTAAATTTTCATTTGCAAGTATTAGATGAAATATATATCTACATAAAAAAATGTTTTCTATTTTTATTATTTTTAATTAAATAAAATACTTTCAAGAAACTTTTCGTCATAAAATTTTAAAAAATATTATGAAGAATTACACTTGATTTTGGACTTCGTTGTATATTTGAATTAAGAATAAACAAAATTACACACTTCTAATTAAAAGTAATTGTTGAAGTATTTTCATATTCTCTTATGAGATATTTCAGTATCTTATGATATTATTTCTTCAGTGATAAGATTCTATAACTTTATTAAATCTTTCTCTATAGGATTGTTTGTCGATCGTCAATTGTCACCCAATAAATATGGTCAATCATTTTGTAATTCATGATACCAAATATTATAAAATTTATATACTTAAGCTAAACTTATTTTTATTTCAAAATTAAACATTAAATAAAGCAAACATTTTTCATTTCTATTCCCCGTGCAACCTAACTTGCAGGTAGATTAATTGGAGGGGCTAACAAACATAACTTGCAGGTAGATTAAATGGATAGGAGGGGAAGGGGGACTAACTTGTCTTAACTTCACGTCACGTTCACCAAAAGTAGTGAATGGCTTCACGTGTAGTGATCCATTTGGGGAGCGTGCGCCATGTGCCAAGGCGCAGTTGGCACCAAAATTCAGAATTTTAGATAAGAAAATCTTACAAACATAACCCTCCAATCCATCAAAACCACACTTACCGGATCTTGCCTTCTCTCCATACCCACTTAACCATTTCTATATAGAACTATTCTTGGACTTGCCATTTCTCAATACAAAGAAACCTACAATAAGTGTTCAAAAATGGCCTCTTGGTATCGAACTATCACCTATCCCTTTAGAAAAGCTTGCAGTACTTTCTTCAATCATCAACAGCAAAGAGACAAGAAGTCCCAACAAGGTACGCCAGTATATGTCTGTGTACTTGTTGAACTACTTGATTTAAAAACTCAATTTGTTCATTGTCTTCAAGATTTCCTTGCACGTCAAAGCTTGACACATGCACAATTTCACTGCAGGACCCGAGAAGAGTGTAATGGATTTGCATGGAGAGGTGATGGCGTGTACCTACGAGGATGTTCAGGTGATGTGGTCGATTTTGGACAAGTCCAAAACCCAGAACCTGCAACGTTAGTTCTTGAATTCAATATATTTTTGCATGTATATTAATTTGTGGGGTCGGCCTGTTTTAATTTTGATTTTGATCAGAATTCAGACAGACCCCTTTACTTGGTTCATTTGGCTTAGACTGATTTTATTTTGTTTTGTAAATATATTGCATCTTGTCGATGTGGTGGGAAGATGAGAAGCCCAAAGACGAGGTTTGAGAAAACCAATTGGAGAAAGGAAAATTAATTACACAAGTTCCATTATGTTTTACTGTTTTTGCTCTGTAACTTCCTTTTTTTTTTGGTTAACAATCAGCAGTGACGGACGCAGACATTTGGAGGTAGTGGGACAATCAAATTTATTAAAAGGTTACAAAAAGAATTATGTATCCTACAAAAACACATACATATGATGACTATCATAGATTCACAAATCTCATATATAAGATAAATAATAATTCTCAATGAATTTCAAATAATCTCTCATATATGATGAATAACAATTTTTAAAGAATTTTCAAATTAAATATCACAAATGACAAAATAATTGCAACTCTCACTCTCTCAAATGTTCGTTCATTGTTGGAACTCTATTATAATAAAAAAAAAAAAAAAAGCCCAACTATCATTATTGCCCAATTCTAATTTTTGGTTCTTAAAAAAAAAAAAGAAAAAAACCCAACTTGAAGTTGGTGGGTCAAGTGACCCACTAGGACCTTGAGTAGGTCCAACAATGACAATGAGAATCTATTTTAGACTCAAGTAGATTTTGGTAATCTTGGTTCAAAATGGCAGGCTATTCCTTTTTGCTTACCAATTGTAACTGTAGTGGAAGATTTGTCACCAAAAGTTGCTCTAGGCTCAATTTTAACCTCCAATTGACAACCTCAACAAGCACACTCGACCCGAGGATCCTCCAATTAACACTTCTCTCTGGTTGTTATGACTTGCACAAATGATACAAGCACAAGTGTGAACACAGCCACGAATACAGCCATGGAGGCAGGAGAGAGACAGAGATGGACGATCCAAAAGCACAAAGGTAGGTAGATGGTATCATGGGGAGAAAGACAGAGATGGGTATCAAACATGTGAAAACCAAATGAAGGAGGAACAATTATATGTAACACTCATTAGGTCCCCATGGTGGACCCAAACCCATTACAAATGGATAAGTGAATTTGGTATCACTTAGTAGGCTGACTCCTATAAATCTTCCAAGGAGAAAAGGTTGGATCATAAGCAGTACTAAATAAGTTAGGCTACTTCCAATGACCCAATTGGTTTTGGGATCGGGTCGTCTTTATTGATATGTCGACTTTTCATTCAACCATTTGGTTGATGTCGACAAAGAAAACACATTGAGCTATATCATAGTTCGGGAAGTAGTTTGACAATAATTTGTCCATCAAACTTTCATATTGGTGTCAAAGGACCTGTCAAAAAAAAAAAAAAAAACATTATCACTTGTTAGTAATACTTACAAAATAGGGAACTGATAAAATTGAAAATTAGTTACCTCCACCATGTTTAGAAAGTCTTTGCAATTTCTAAACTTCACCTGCGATAGCACCTAAGTGCCTGTGTCCGAAGGATTATATTGTGTATGTATCTTTTCAAGTCTTATCACTTCCCGAGACACAATATCTCTAGTGAAGTGTAGTCTAATATCAATGTGCTTGGGCACATTTGTGAACGACAGGATTTTTGTATAGATGTATAAAAGATTGACTATTTGATATACTATTACATAATCATTTAAAATACAGAGTTCATGTAACAAACCTTTAAGCTACAAACCTATTTTAATTGCTTCAATTGTAGCAATATATTCAAATTCAGTAGTCGATAGTGCATATATGTGTTGTAACTGTGATTTCCAACTAACGCAAGAGTTAGACAAAGTAAACACATAGGAAGAAGTAGATTTTCTATTATCTCTATTCCATACATAGTCTACATCTACAAAACCTTTCAATTTCACACCTTCTTTATTAGCACCAAACTTTAGACTCACTTCACTAGTTCGCTTTGAATACCTTAACATCTATTTTAAGGTTTTCTAATACTCGGGACCCGTATTAGACATGTACCTACTAAGGTTACTAACAACAAAATGCTAATAAATCTGATCTAATGCAAAATATCAAATATACAATAGATCCAATTACATTAAAGTATGGGATCTTATTCGTGTGCTCTATTTCGTTTTCATTACATGGTGCCTAATCATTATATAAGACAAAGTGATTAGCTAAAGGTAACGTAACAAGTTTGCAGTCATGCATGCCAAATCTTTTCAACACTTTTGAAACATAGGAGGATTGATGCCGAAAAAAAAAGAAGCAAAATTTGATCTATCTCTTTCAATTTCCATACCTTGGATTCTCTTCGTTTTACCTAGATCTTTTATGTCAAATTCGTCATTTATTTGTTTTTATCTTGCTTATCCATTTCAGTGGTGAACTAACTAAGAGCATATCATCCACATATAGCAATAAGAACACATAGTCATTATTGACAACATTATATTTAAAATAGAGACAATGATCAAACTTACTCCCCTGAAATTCTATAGTAAGGACAAAAGAATCAAATCTTTTATAACGCTGTCTAGGTAATTGTTTTAGACCATATAAGGATCTTTTCAAGAAACACACATGATCAGATTTTAGTTTATCTTTAAAACCTATTGGTTGATTCATAAAGATTTGCTCATCAAGTTCACCATATAAAAAAACCAAATTTTTACATCAAGTTATTCAAGTTCTAGTCAAAATGTGCAACTAATGCAACTATGATCCTAATAGTAGTGTACTTAACAACGAGTAAAAAAATCTCATTATAATCAACACGCTCTATCTGTGTATACTCCTTGGCCACTAGCCTAACTTTAAATCTTAAATGTTTAGATACAGTAGTATCCTCCTTAACCTTAAAAACCAACTTACAGTCAATTGCGTATTTTTTCTTAGGTCTAGGTACTACTTTCAAAGTTTGATTCTTTTCTAAAGAACTCACTCATCTTTCATTGCCTTAAACTACTCTTTTAATTGTTCATTTCTCATCACTTTCTCAAAGGTTTTTGGTTCTCTTTCAACTAGCTTCTCATAGCTAGCTTAAGCAAAAGCTAACTCAGACTCATATCCAAATCTTCTAGGTGCTCTTGATTATTTTCTCTCTATCCGTAGCTAAATTATAATTTGGTAGAGGGTTCTCTTCCTCAGAATGCTCATCTATCTCTACTTCATCTTTATTCTCCACTTCAAGTTGTTGAACCTAAGTTTTCACCTCATTAGGAATGACAGAGATAGATGTGCTAAGTTTTGCTAACTCTACCTACAGCTAATCTTTCTTTTCATCTATCTTTCTTTACTCACAAGTTCAGAATCAATCCTAAGACAAGGCATCTCAGCCTCGTTAAATGTGACATCTGTACTCACAATGATCTTAAGCTCCATTTGGCTTCTATCTCATAGCATGTAACCCTTGACGACCTTTGGGTAACCTAGAAAAACACACTTTCTAGCTTTAGGTTCAAACTTTCCTTTAATCTGATGAGAAAAAATAGTACAGACAAAAGTTCTAAGCACAGAATAATCACTTATTTATTAGATCATATCACCATTCAATGAAGTATACGAAATTAAATTAATCAAATAACAAGAAATCATAACAACTTCACCATAAATGATTTTGGGACTCCAGAACTTAACATCATGCAATGTATTTTATCAAGTATGGTTCTATTCATCCTTTTAGCTACCCCATTTTGTTAAGGAGTGTAAGGAACAATCTTATGCATTGTTATTACATTTTCTTTGCACATATTGTCAAATTCAGTGTTATAAGAATTTAGGCTATCATCAATTCTCAAATACTTAACCATCTTGTCAGTTTGGTTCTCAACTTGTCTTTTCCAATTATTAAAACTATGAAAAGTATAAGATTTATCCTTTAAAAGATAAACCCACATTCTTCTCATGTATTCATCAATGATTGACAAGAATACCTATTTTCCCCCGAGGTGGGATTACTTGCAGCACCTCATAAGTTTGAATGCACATATTCAAGCATACCTTTAGTTTTATGAACACTCATAGAGATGGAAGGTCTATGATGTTTATTAAGCACATAGTGATTACAAAAAGACAAAATTAGACACATAATCATTACCAAAAACACCCTTTTCATTAAGGAGTTTAAGACGCTTAATACAAGTCTATTGTGTTATTTATGTGTGTGATAGGCCTTGGCAAAAGAGATAAATGAATCTAGACCTCTTATCACTTTTTCAGTAGTGATATAAATATCATTTCTCCTGGTTTCCTTGATAGGTACAAGTACAACCTTGACTAATTTTAAAACTCTGTTTCCAATTTTACAAGTAAATCCAGTCTTTTCAAATGAATCTATTAAGATAGGGTTTCTAGACAGTTCAGGAATGTATCTAATATCTTTTAAAGTATACATAAAGCTAATGTCAAACTTTAAGATAATATCCCCAATTCCAGGAGCAGTATAAGTAGAATTGTCACATAGCACAACATGTCCATCATTTGATTCATGCAAGTTTTCAAACCATTTTTTTTGTGATGTTACATGAAAGGATGTACCAGGATCAAGTATCCACTCATGTAAACGAGAATTGGGAGTTTGATTCAATTCAGCAGAATAAGCAATATAACTTGTAATCATATACATTTCACCATCATCAACATTGGAATCGAATGACAACACATTTACTTAATCTCTCTCTTTATCCTTCAGCTTACTCTTTTCTTTATAGCAATCTTTTATAAAATGTCTCATGTTCCTATATCCACAACATTTTCCAACCTTAATCCTAGAGTTTGATCTAAACCTATCCTATCCTTTTTTTTTTTAATTTTATTTCCATAACTACTTGCCACCACCATGGAACCTTTCATGACTATTTTGATTAAACTGAGTTCTACCTCTCACCATATGAATCTCACCGCCTTTCTTATCGTGTTTTTCAGCTTTAATCTCCATCTCCTCACTTTTAAGAGAGTCCATAATAATTTTAGGCTTCAAAATGTCCGTGCCATACTTGATCGAATTTTTAACTTCCTTATAAGTACCAATCATGAAATTAAGCAGAATTATAGCTTTATAGGTTTTCGACACCGTCTCTTCACAGTTAACGATATCTTAGACCAATTTGTTAAATACGTCTAAATTATCATCAAAATCCTTTGAAGAATCCATTTTAAAACTGAAAAAAAGCTCAATAAGTAAAGTTTGTTCATAATAGATTTGAGCTAATACAAGTCTATTTTTTTAAAAGTTATTTAGTGGTTTTAAATTTACCCACTTTTCTCAAAATAGCGTCAGACAAGTAAAAAATGATTTAAATATAAGCAAACTTATCAACTTCTTCTTTTTGTTCTTTTGAAAAATCA